CATGTAGTTCTCCTAGATGCCTAGAAGAGAAGGACCTGAAGTTCTTAAATGTTTTATTCCATCTTTGGAATATAGGATGTTAGGCTAATTAGTTTAGATGACTTCTACCTGTTCTAACCAAACTGGTTTCCCCATTCTTTTTTTCTTTTTTTTAAACAGTCTTGCTCTGTTGCTCAGGCTGTAGTATACTGGCATGATCTCAGTTCATTGCAACCTCCATCTCCTGGGTTTGAGCAATTCTCCTGCTTCAGTCTCCTGAGTAGCTGAGGTCACAGGCATGCGCCAACATACATCTCTACCAACTTTTGTATTTTTAATAGAGATGGGGTTTCACCATATTGGCTAGGTTGGTCTTGAACTCCTGACCTCAAGTGATCCACTCACCTTGGCTTCCCACAATGCTAGGGTTACAGGCAGGAGCCACTGTGCCCAGCCCATAATTCATTTTTAAGCCTTCTGCAAAAAGTTGGGTACACCATGTGCCAAACCTTTCTTCTGACGCCTCTGCAGGCTCATGGAGTGGAAAGGGGATGCTGGAGAGCAAAGACGCAGTCATAGTCTGTGCAGTACCTGTGGACTAGCTCTCAAAAAAGTATCAAGCAATACAAATGCCATAGTTGATGCTGGACATGAAGCGTTGAATTCATTTGTAAAGTGGAAGCAGATTGGACCACGGAGCCGGGAGACTCTGGCCCCCGTCACCTTTCCCCTCTGTGGACCGGTTTCCTTAACCACAAAGTGAGGGGCTTGAACCAGATAATTGCTAATAGTCTTAGATTCTCTTGTCTATTTTATGCCTGATTTAATTCCAGATGCTCCTCAACTTATGATGGAGTTGCATCCTAAAAAACCCATTCTAAGTTGAAAAATCAGAAAAATAAAAAATGCATTTTATATGAACAACCTATCGATATCATAGCTTAGCCTATCCTATCTTAAATGTGCTCAGAACACTGAAGTTGGGCAGAATAATCTATCACAAAGCCTGTTTTATAATAAAGGGTTGAGTATCTCATGTAATTTATATTACTGAAAGTGAAAAACGGAATGGTCGTATGGGTACTCAAAGTTCAGTTTCTACTGATTGTAAGCCACTTTCACACCATCTTAAAGTTGAAAAATTATAAGTCGAACCGTCGTAAGTAAGTCAGGGACCGTCGGTACAAGAACGAACACTCGCTAAACTGCCTCTTTCTTCCTGGTTGGCATTGTAAGTTGAAACGGTGGATCTCAGCCCTGACTGAATATTAAAATCACCTTGGAACTTAAATTTTTTTTTAAAAGATGCCTACCCTCCCCAACCCCCACCAAAATCTGATCTGGATTGGGACTCTAAAATCAGTCATTTTAAATTTTAATTTTTCAGAAGAAACAGCTCTTTTTAAGATAGCAGTGTTGAAAGCGGCTATGTTAGAGGGTTCCTGCTGGTTAGGTGTGCACTTTGTAGCCCAGCTAATACTTGCGAAGCTTTCTACGTCTTGTAAAGCACTTTCATAATACTTCACATTCCACTTAGTGCCACCACAGTCTGGTAGAGTGGATGTTATTACTATCCCACATACCCGCTTAACCTTGTAAATGGTTGTGGTCTCCTATTTGAGGTTGCTTTTCGCTATGGATCCAGACTGAAAGAAGGTGACTCCAGGCCCAGCTGGGTGGCCTGAGCCACAGGAATAATTTCAGGCTGCATATGTGTATGGGCTATGTTTGTGTGTGTGTATACATGCACATACATTCTAAATTAAATATGTTTATAATATATATATATATTTTATACACACATATTAAATATAAGTATATATTAGGCCATAATATACACATATGTTAAAAATATGTATATATTATACACACACATTATACGGACACGTGCACCCACACATGGCTGTTGCTGGTGATCTCTGTCTGTATAAGACTTGACAGCCTGGGCCCCGGTGAGAGTTATAAAGTCACCCCCTAACATTCTACCTCCTTACTCAGTGGGTGCCCCTTACTCCCTGTGGAGGCCCAGAGTTCTTTATACTCAGGCTCTTATTACTAGATGGGCCCCCTATGGCCCCCTGTACCCCGATTTACTCTCACCCCACCTCCAGGGCTGGTGGGGAATCATCAGAAGGCATGTTGGACTGGAGTCAGGACCCCTGAGTTCTGGTCTCAACTCTGATGTTCAGAGTCTGTGTGACCCAGGCCAGGTCACATACTACCTTGGGGCTCCAGTTTCTTCATCTGGAAACAGATACTGAATTGTTCTGTGAAGGCGGAGTTAAGTGAACCATAGTGTTGTACCTAAGTAGAAGCAGACTCCCTGAGATTAAATACAGTGTTGCCGGTGACTGGGTGTATGATTTGGGGTAAATTTTTTTTCTTTTCTTTTTTTCCAAGATGTTTTGCCTTTGTTGCCCAGGCTGGAGTGCAATGGTGTTATCTCCACTCACCACAACCTCTGCCTCCTGGGTTCAAGTGATTCTCCGGCCTCAGACTCCCGAGTAGCTGGGATTACAGGCATATGTCACACCACGCCCGACCAATTTTTTATATTTTTGGTAGAGATGGGGTTTCTCCATGTTGGTCAGGCTGGTCCCAAACCTCCAACCTCAGGTGATCCACCTGCCTTGGCCTCCCAAAGTGCTAGAACTAACAGGCGTGAGCTACCGCTCCCAGCCTGTGATTTTGGGTAAATTTTCTAACCTCTCCGAGTACTAGTCCGCAGCCTGTTAGGAACTGGGCCACACAGCAGAAACTGAGGGTAGGTGGCCCAGAGAAGCTTCATGTAATTGGAATGTTTTATTTCCAGAGGAGTGGGGTGACAGCATGCTTGTGGACAGGGTTTCTCAAGACTCCTAAATGGTCCTGAGTTCTGTATAGTCTTCCCTGCCTGCTGGGCCAAGGATTAGAAGGATTTGATTTATGGGATGGGAGGCAGGCTGAAGTACCTAGAAATTACCTACATACTTTGGGCCTTTTTTCTTGCCTTGAAGTCTAAAGAGACAGCACAATCATTTTCCACCTTTTCGTCATTGGAGTAAGTTTTCAAGGGTTTTCATTCTAAATCATAACTAATGCATGTGACATGATATTTGTAGAATAAGATAAGCCAAAAGTCTTCTGTACCATTTAAACTCTAACCAAGTGTATAAGAACTCTTTCTCTGAGCATTAAAAGAGGGATTATCCCATTCTAGAGGGACTGGAGGACATCCTGAACCTCTGGAAGGAAGCTTGGTTCATGATGACACAAACTGTAGACAGAGTTTACACATGCCTCAAACAACGGTTGTTGGAACAGACTTTCAGCCGTATCGGTTTAATTCAAATTTTCCTCTGTACAGGAATAAGATCTTGAGGGGCAGCTGCATGCAACCTCGGAACCTCAGTTTGGCTAATGGAGCTCCCTACAGCTGAGTGTTTCGGGGCCACTGACTTTGTGCGAGCGTTCTCAGTAGCCCATTGAGAGTTGTCAAGATTAAATGTGATAGTAGATGTGAAGCCTGCAGAGTAACAGCCAACATTTGTGGAGACCTCCCGCACATAATATGTGTTTAATAAATGCTGATTGTTATTGCTTTAAAACGTGTATGTTTAAAACTGGTCAAAGCATAACGAACTTTCTCAACATGTGTAAGCCCATTGTGCCCACTGTAGGTTAACGAGCTTCTGACACACACAGGAGCTGGGAGAACCCTCTGTGGTGCTGTCTGTAGTGGCTGAAGCACCTCCGGGCAGATAGGAGGCTGCAAGGCACCCAGCATCCCACACAGCCTTTGAGTCTTACCTGCTTCCTGCCTGTAGGTGCAAAGAAAATGAAGTCTGTTTCACTGTATGGGTTTGAGTAGAGGATTTTGATTGGTCAGTGTTGTGGGCCAGATATGTTTCCCCAACATTTAAATGTTGAAATCCTAAACCCAGAGTGCCTCAGAATGTGGCTGCGTTTGGCACAGAGCTTTCAAAGCAGCCATTAAGTTATTACTTAATAACTCAGTAGTTAAAGTCATTACAGTGGGTCCTAATCCAACATGACTGGTATCCTTGTAAGAAGAGCTTAGGACACAGACACATAGAAGTAGGGAAGCCACAGCGAGAAGATGGGCATCTGGAGCCAAGGACAGAGGTCTCAGAAGGACTATCCCTGCCGGCCAGGTGTGGTGGCTCACACCTCTAATCCCAGCTGTTTGGGAGGCTGAGGTGGGCAGATCACCTAAGATGAGGAATTCAAGACCAGCCTGGCCAACATGATGAAACCCCATCTCTACTAAAAATACAAAAATTACCTGGGTGTGGTGGTGGGTGCCTGTAATTTCAGCTACTCAGGAGGCTGAGGCAGGAGGAGTGCCTGAACCCAGGTGGCAGAGGTTGCAGTGAGTCGAGAGCGTGCCATTGCACTCTAGCTTGGGTGATAAGAGCGAACCTCTGTCTCGAAAAAAGAAAAGAAAAGAAGGGAAAGAAACCTTGCCGACACCCTTGGTCTCAGATTCCAGCATCCTGAACTGTGAGAAGATACATTGCTGCTGTTGAAGTTGCCCCACGCCCCACCCTCCAGTTTTTGATATTTTGTCACGGCAGCCCTAGAACATTAATACAGGCGCTGCTGAATTCTCCCTGAGTGCTGATATTTCTGGGGAGAATGTTGGTGTTAAGTGAAGCAGGGGGATATAGCACGAGGGAACTCAGCCTGCGTTTGACACCCTCCCACTCCCTGAGTTGGTGACCTGCGCCATGCGCTTAACCTATTGTTCTTCATTTTCCTCCTGTGTAAAGTGCGAGTGAGCCACTTTCTAAGGTGCGGTAAGGCTTCGGTGGAGTCATTTATGGAAGGGTTGTCACCATCCCGAGCACATGGTAGGCACCGCATAAATGGCATTTATTGTTACGATTGACAAACTATCAATTAGAGCAGCGGTCCCCAGCCTGTCTGGCACCAGGGACTGGTTTTGTGAAAGACAGTTTTTCCATGGAGCAGGGATGGGGGATGGGGGATGGGGATGGTTTCAGAATCATTCAAGCTCATTATGTTTACTGCACACTTTATTTCTGTTATTGTCACATTGTAATATATAATGAAATAATTATACAACTCACCATGATGTAGAATCAGAGGGAGCCCTGAGTTTGTTTTCCTGCAACTAGATGGTCCCATCTGGGGGTGATGGGAGACAGTGACAGATCATCAGGCATTCTGATAAGTGCAGCCTACATCCCTGGCATGTGCGGGTCACCATAGGGCTTACGCTCCTGTGAGAATCTAATGTCACTGCCGATCTGACAGGGGGTGGAGTTCAGGTGGTAATGCAGGTGATGGGGAGTGGCTGTAAATACAGATGAAGCTTCTCTGGGCCACCTACACTCAACTTCTGCTGTGTGGCCCAGTTCCTAACAGGCTGTGGACCAGTACTGGTCTGTGGCTGGGTGGTTGGGGATCCTTGAATTAGATGTTTATTTTTGTTTGTTTTTTGGGCTATAAATTGTATATATTGGTTATCAATCTTTCCTTTTTCTTTTTTTTGAGATGGAGTTTTGTTCTGTCACCAGGCTGGAGTGTAGTGGTGTGATCTTAGCTCACCGCAACCTTCGACTCTCTGATTCAAGTGATTCTCTTGCCTCGGCCTCCTGAGTAGCTGGGTAGCAGGAACACACCACCACACTCAGCTAATTTTTGTATTTTTAGTAGAGATGGGGTTTCACCATGTTGGCCGAAATGGTCTCAATCGCCTGACCTCCTGATCTGCCTTCCTTGGCCTCCCAAAGTGCTGGGATTACAGGCATGAGTCACAGCGCCCAGCCAATTATCAATCTTAAATAATATTTGCTTGTCCACAAACTTGGAAAAAGAAGGCTATTTAGAGATTTTAACATGCTTCCTACTAACATTCTGAGGAGTGTTGAAATGAACGTGTAACAAAGGATCCCTTTGAAAGTGTAAAGTCACTGAAGAGTATCCTACAGCCACTTTTTGTTCTATGGTACTGGAAGGAATAGCATTTTTAGTACTCTTTCCCAGCTACGTTTATTTGGAGGAGGCAATGCAAAGGACTCCTGTTTGTGGGGGAGGAATGGCTTGGCCTTAAATAAGGGATTGTTTAACTGGATTGGTTTTGCCTTGGAGCATATAAGGCAGTGTTGCCGAGTGTTTATTTTCTTGTTATTAAGCAGTTGGAGTTCTTTGCATATTTTGAATATTAGCCCCTGTGATTTGCAAATATTTTCTCCCAATGTGTGGGTTGTCTCTTCACTCTGTTAATTTTTTCCTTTGTTGTACAGAAACATTTTAGTTGGGTGTACTGGACATTCCAGGCCTGGACAGTTGCCTGTTGCTCACTGGGGAGTCACTGCAGTAGGGGAAATACTTTTAGACCGTTGATATTTGCTATTTGTTAAAAATAGCCCGTTTACGTCTCTTGCTTAGGAGAAAGGCAATGTTTTTAACTCCTGGCAAAGTGTGTTGTTTTTTTGGAAGAGCCCGAAGGACATGGAACAGAAATCCCCAAATAATGTCTTTCTAGCAGCCCATTAGAGTGGATTTAAGGCTTGCGTTTGAAAGGTGCAGCACAGTTTGATTGTGGTTTGATGACGTAAGAAGTCAAGCGCTTGGCCATGTGTTTTGTTTCCTTGCAGTGACTTTGGAAATCTTGCTAGAGCTGTGGAAATTGAGCTTTTGCTGAATCCGAGTGATGTCAGTCTTGCTTGTTTGTAAGAATCTGATCAAAATAGCTGAGCTCCACTGTCCCTTCATGCACAGAGGCCCACACGATGCTTTAACTGTTGAGAGCACATTGCTGCATGTCGGGAATGAACGTGCCACTTTGTTTGCTGCTTCGAAGGGAGTGGATCAGTAGACAGGTGACCTTTGCGCATGTTCCTTTTAAACGTGAAGGGTTTATTAAGGAACATCATGATAATATGTTTTGTAAGTTTTATTTTACTTTTAATTGACTGATAATGTATATATTTATAGGGTACAGTGTGATGTTTTGATACATGTGTATATTGTGAAATGATCAAATCAGGCTAATTAACATAACCTATCACCTCAAAGAGTAACTTTGTACCTATTGATCAGTGTCTCCCCTTTTTCCTCTACCTCCTCCCACCCCCAGCCTCTCATAACCACTGTTTAACACTCTCCTTTTCTGACCTTGTAGATTCCACATATATTTATTAACATAACCTATCACCTCAAAGAGTAACTTTGTACCCATTGATCAGTGTCTCCCCTTTTTCCTCTACCTCCTCCCACCCCCAGCCTCTCATAACCACTGTTTAACTCTCTCCTTTTCTGACCTTGTAGATTCCACATATATTTATTAATTAACATAACCTATCACCTCAAAGAGTAACTTTGTACCCATTGATCAGTGTCTCCCCTTTTTCCTCTACCTCCTCCCACCCCCAGCTTCTCATAACCACTGTTTAACACTCTCCTTTTCTGACCTTGTAGATTCCACATATATTTATCTCTCTGTGCCTGGCTTATATCATTTAACACAATATCTTCCTTTTATTTTATTTTTAAAATTATACTTTAAATTCTGGGTGCACGTGCAGAGCATGCAGGGTTTTTGTTTTTTTTTTTCCCAAGACAGAGTTTCGCTCTTGTTACCCAGGCTGGAGTGCAATGGCGTGACCTTGGCTCACCGCAACCTCCGCCTCCTGGGTTCAGGCAATTATCCTGCCTCAGCCTCTCGAGTAGCTGGGATTACAGGTACGTGCCACCGTGCCCAGCTAATTTTTTGTATTTTTAGTAGAGACGGGGTTTCACCATGTTGACCAGGATGGTCTGGATCTCTTGACCTCATGATCCACCCGCCTTGGCCTCCCAAAGTGCTGGGATTACAGGCTTGAGCCACCGTGCCTGGCCTAATGCATTTATTCTGTACACAATCTACATCAGGCCTCTGATTTTGTTGACCCTTTGTAGAGGAAAGGAAAAAAATTTAACTCTGTGCCTATATGATTTGTGATGGGAGCCACCTGCACTTGGCTGCAGAGATGGTTATATTCTCCACCAGCCACCGGTGTAGATATGAGCCAGCCAACACAAAGAAATTCATATCACACTCCAGCCTGGACCTTTTTTAAAAAAATTGTGGGCCAGGCGTGGTGGTGCATGCCTGTAATCCCAGCACTTTGTGAGGCCAAGGTGGGTAGATCACCTGAGGTCAGAAGTTTACAACCAGCCTGTCTAACATGGTGAAACCCCATCTCTACTACATACGAAAAAATAAGCTATAAATATCATAAGTGATCTGTCTCCTATGATGATAACTTTCGGACTTCCCAGTTGCCAATTCCTTTACATTTTGAACCTTACTAAGGTGATCTTTTTTCTGTATATAATGTGTGTTGTGTGTTTTTGTTGGCTGTTCATTCAGCCTAGATGAAAAGTTATGACCAAATCCTGCAGGGTAGGTTTGCAAGTCACTTCTCTGTCTTTCAAGGTAGAAAGTGAACATGGGCAGTGGTGAGAACAGGTTTTTGGAAAGGTGAAACACACTATGGTCAACTATTATTTTTTAAATATTGATTTATTTGTTTTATTTTATTATTACTAATTTTTGTTTTTTGAAATTAAGTCTCATTCTGTTGCCCAGGCTGGAGTGCAGTGGCACAATCTCAGCTCACTGCAACCTCTGCCTCCCAGGTTCATGTGATTCTCCCGCCTCAGCTTCCTGAGTAGCTTGGGTTACAGGCACCCACCACCAAGCCTGGCTAATTTTTGTATTTTTAGTAGAGACAGGGTTTCATCATGTTGACCAGGCTGGTCTCAAACTCCTGACCTCAGGTGATCCGCCCGCCTCAGCCTCCCAAAGTGCTGGGATTATAGATGTGAGCCACCACACCTGGCCTACAGTCAACTTTTAAAAAACCAAAACAAGTACTGGGTGTGGTGCTCACACCTGTAATCCCAGCACTTTGGGAGGCCAAGGTGGGTGGATCACCTGATGTTAGGAGTTCGAGACCAGCCTGGCCAACATGGTGAAACCCCGTCTCTACTAGAAATTAAAAAAAAAAAAATGAGCCAGGTGCAGTGGCACACACCTGTAGTCCCAGCTACTCAGGAGGCTGAGGCAGGAAAACTTCTTGAACCCGGGAGGTGGAGGTTGCAGTGAGTGGAGATCACACCCCTGCACTCGAGCCTGGATGACAGAGTGAGACTCTGTCTCAAAACAAAAACAAAAATTTTCTGAAAGCAACATTTTCTATGAGTTATAAAGGGTCTAAAGTATTGTTTTTTGTTGGGCAAGCAAAATGAGCGCAAATTAAGCTCGTGTCTGCTCGCTCCACTCCTACCTCCCAGGGTTTAAGTTACTTTTCTGATTTAAATGAATGGTTAAATCACTTAATGTATTTAGAATTTGATTTGAGTAAATTTAAACTGCAAAGGTACATGTTTGTTTTTTGTTTTATAAAATCAGCTGACCTTTTCTGTACATTTCAGGACATTTTCACATGTTTTAGGCACAATATTCTCAAGAGGTGGACCACTGAGGTTTTTCTAAGGAAATTTGGTGATACCTTGCGTCACTAGACGGGCTTGGCATTGGACGTGGAATGCAGAGCTCTGTCACTCTTTTAGATCTTCAGTGTCACACCTGGAATTTGAGGAACGCTCTTCTTTATTGGATGCCAATTTAGAATGAGACATTGATGGAAGTCCTGGATTTTGCTAGAGCAGAACGATGGGTTTAGTACCTGTCTTAGGGAATGCGAGTCATTCTCAGAGTCAGGAAACAACTGGTGATCACTTTGGAGAACAGTTTGATTTTCTAGGTACCAAATAAGGGAGCTTCTCTGTTAAACTTTGCATCTCTGAAAGAACGCCTTCCTTGTCTTAGGGTCCTGCTGGGGGTGAGAAAAGAGACCCAGTAAACAGGGCTCACAGTTAGCTTAGGCTGTTTCCGTGAAAAGCCCCCTGCTTGTGGGTGGGAGAACAACCTCGGCCAGTCTTGAAGGTTAGAGAAGAAACTGTTGGGTTTGCTGCTTTTTATACCACACAAGGGTATAGTTATCTTGTTCTGTTATATTCATTTCTTCCTCCAAACAGTCTACTGGGGAGAAAGAACAAATCCAAGTCTGAGAAGCATCTTGATGTGGAAATCTGTAAAAAAAAACAAACAAAAAAAAAAATGAGGAAATTCACACATAGGTGAAACAATACAGATTTTTATTTTCTCTCCCCGCCCCCGCCACAGGTGAATTTTGTGGCGTGCCAGCTCGCTGCTCTGTTTGCTGCTTTCTGGTTTCGCGTCTACTTACGTCCTGGTCAAACCAGCTCTGATGTCAGGCACGCGGTTGCCGCCATCTTTGGCATCTATTTCGTCATCTTCTGTTTCGGCTGGTGAGTACGAGCCTCATGCAGTCTCATATTGGTCATTTGGATGTCTTGTGGCAATGCTGTTGGAATTGCACGAAAGCAAGACATAGACGGTATTATAAAATATGTATTGTAAAATGTTATCTTGTAAATTTACCTTATAGTAAGATGACGAAGTCATTGCAGGAATCTTCATCTACTGTAAGAACCTGGAATCTCCGCTTACTGGAAGAGCCAACTGACCATCCATTGGAATTGGAAGTCAGTAGAGTTCATTTTCTCTTTTTCTTTTTTTTTTTTTGAGATGAGTCTCACTCTGTCACCCAGGCTGGAGTGCAGTGGTGCCATCTCTGCTCACTGCAACGTCTCCCTCCTGGGTTTAAGTGATTCTCCTGTCTCAGCCTCCTGAGTAGCTGGGACTACAGGCACACAGCACTAAGCCTGGCTAATTTTTGTATTTTTAGTAGAGATGGGGTTTCACCATGTTGGTCAGGCTGGTCTCGAACTCTTGACCTCATGATCTGCCCGCCTCGGCCTCCCAAAGTGCTGGGGTTATAGGCATGAGCCGCCATGACCAGACTTTTTCTTAAAACTATGCTTCTATAGATCCCTCTCAGTCATGTGAATGGGATGCTGTATGGTTAAATTTTCCCAAAAGAAACCTTTCCTAACTATCCTAGATGTTGTGTATTTCTTGCATCACTGCTAGGGACGTTGGTGTGAGTCCTGCATTTTCACCAGAGTAGAACAATGGGCTTAGTGCTGGTTTTAGGGAATGTGAATCATTCGTTAACAGAGAAAGCTCGTTATTTACTTTCCTTTACTAGTAAGCTGGGCAGATACCCTAACAGGTATTCGGGAAGAAGTTTTAGAGACCAGCATTTTTAGAAGTCCACCTTCAAGAATTCTGTGAATTTGTTCAGGGTACCATACTAGGATACTGCTCCTAATCCTTCCACAAATATCTAAGAAGGAATGAGTATTTTAAATCATCCACCAGGTAGGAGTCTTGGTATCTGGGGAAGCCTGGTTTAAAAAATAAAGTCTTAAAGAAAGAACTCATCTCTCTGGACTGTCGTTGCATATGTGAAAAAAGTGTAAGCATTCCACTTACGGATTCCTGACATTATTTGCCCTGCGGTTGGCAAACTGTGTTAGGACTTTCTTGGGTCGTTGTAAGATACAGCATCTTAATTGCATAGCAGGAAATATTTGGTGTATTTTCTCTTACATAAACGTGAGTCACTGATGATTGATCATTTGTGTTTTTGGTGTGGGTAGTGATAGATTCACAGTTCAGGCAACCAATAGGTATGTTGATATAAAATATATTCCTTCCTCCCCCCACCTGTTATGTCTTAAAGGTACTCTGTGCATCTTTTTGTGCTCGTGTTACTGGGCTATGCCATCATGGTCTCTGCAAGTGTCTCCAATATTCACAGGTAAGATACAGGGGATGGACAGTGCAAGGTGCGATTTTTTTGTGATCTTTGAAATATATGTCCAGTATAAAGATGTACCTTCCCCATTTTCTGCAAGTGGTATATCTTAGTTTATTTAGAATATCGGGAGGGATGGGGAGCCCCAAAGGCTGGCATCTTCAGAGAAGGCTTTATGAAAAAGATCGATGCAAATTGAGCCTCAGGTGAAAGAGACTGTGTCAGAGCTCGGCTGCTCTATTTGTGACAGCCAAAACTGGAAGAGACTTAGATGTTCAACACAGTAAAAGCAGTGCAAGATTGGGATACACAGTGACGTGGATGAGTCTCAAAACAAACATGCTCGGTGAAGGAAGCTGCACAAATTCTACTTTAGAGAATGCAAACTAATCTATAGTGACAGAAGCTCACAAGTTAAGTGGGACGGTGCAGGGAGCTGTGGAAGGATTCACATGGAGGCATGAGGAAGCTTCTCGGCGGTGATGGATAGCTCCACTCTCTTGAATCTGGTGATAGTTTGCTGGGTATCTATATGTCTCAAATCTGATTAAATTGTATACTTTCTATATGTACAGTAAAGCTGGTAAGAAATATTTTTACTATGATGTATTGATTTCAAAGTGCGGAAGTAGTTTAAGTCTACCTTGGAGGCAGCATGCTTGGATAATCAGCTGAGATGCCTGGGTGTCTGTTTTGCATGGTCTTTGTTTCACATGGTCTTTCTGGAAACTCAGGATTCACTCTGCCTTTCAGGAACACTGCAGTGTAAGTTCTATGAAAACAAAGATTTTTCTCTCTCTTGTTCACTGTTGTATCTTTCAAGCCAGGAACAATATCTGGCAGAAGTCAGAACTCAGTAAATATTTATGGAATGAATGACTGAATTACTTTTAAGAGATATTTGCTTGCCCCCCACCTTTTTTTTTTTTTTTTCTGAGTCAATTTTGCTCTGTCACCCAGGCTGGAGTGAAATGGCACAATCTTGGCTTACTACAACCTCTGCCTCCTAGGTTCAAGGGATTCTCCTGACTCCGCCTCCTGAGTAGCTGGGACTAGAAGTGCGTGCCACTATGCCCGGCTAATTGTTTACAGTTTTAATAGAGATGGGGTTTCACAGTGTCAGCCAGGATGGACTTGACCTCCTTGACCTCATGATCTGCCTGTCTCAGACTCCCAGGGTTCTGGGATTACAGGCATGAGCCACCACGCCTGGCCCCAAGATAATTGTCCTTTTATGGATGCTGACGGCCTCTCTGAAAAGCAGGCGTGTTATTTCAGCTTCCGAAAGCTTTTTGATTAATCACTGTTAGTACAATATTTTCCTTCTTAAAAATGTTGAAATTTAACTTTTCACTGTATGATCTTGTAGTTATAACAAATTTTTGGTTTCCCAGGGAGAATATTTTTTCATGCTTTTACATTTTGCAGTCATTCAGCATAGTATCCAAAGGAGCTCTGAAAATTTGAATTCTAACCATCTCTCTTCCCATTGCCCTGCTTGAAGGGGATAGTGTCACTTCTCTTCCAGAAAGGAAATAGGAAATTTATTTTTCTAAGTTGGAAAGCACGGGTTTTGGAAATGTTTCATATGATGACAAAATGATTATAAAAGCTTTTATTTTTTAACTAGGTGGATGAAGATGCTTCACTTTTCCAGAACTTGATTTTGGAAGCAATTAAGTAATAAATGATGAATAATTTTGGTGTCGCCGTACAGCACATTTTCGACTTCCTTACAGACTGTAATTTGTCCGTTCTGTCCACACTTGTGTGATGACGATGGTGTCTGGTCCATTTTTCAGAGCGTCAGGAACTTGATACACATGCTTGTTTCACACCGGGCCTAGGTTCACTGTCTTCAGGTTCACGGTGTTCCGTTCTAGTGTCCAGGAATGGAATACTCTGGCCTTGGCAGAGGCACATGGTTTACAGACAGGGTATGATTATGCCACCACAGTATTATTGTGGTAGCAGGGGCTCTGCCATCAGACCAAGAAGGAGAGATGCCAGCAAAAGATGCTTCTCTTGGTTTGCCCTTCTGGTTACCAATATTGTAGAAGTCGAGATTGTTTCACAGTTCCCCTTGGATGAACTCAATGTAAATTAAAAAAAAAATCTCGGCGTTGTTTCCTGTTTGTGGAAAGAGCTCTGGACTGGAATCAGGAAATCGAGGTTCTCCTAGCAGTATGAGTTTGGACAGGTCGTGCGGCTTCTCCGTGTGTCAGATTTCCCACCTGCAAAAGACTGGGTTTGCAGCAGTTTGAACACAGTTCTGTTCAGAACCAGGATGTCATGATTCTGTGTCAGGTGCTCCCCTCTTTACTTCACCGAGTCAGTGATAAGAGTTCCATTACATGGCTGAGAGGAGGAGGGAAAGATTCCTATTTGCTGCCGTATGAAACTAACCCCTTTTCTGCCTCCCTCCCTTCTTCCCTCCTTCCTTCCCTTCCTTCCCTTCCTTCCTTCCTTCCCTCCCTCCCTTCTTCCCTCCCTCCCTCCCTCCCTCCCTCCCTCCCTCCCTCCCTTCCTTCCTTCTTTCCTTCCTTCCTTCCTTCCTTCCTTTCACGTCTTACTCTGTTGCCCAGAGTGAAGTGCAGTGGCTTGGTCTTGGCTCACTGCAACCTCTTCCTCCCTAGTTAAAGCGATTCTCCTGCCTCAGCCTCCCAAGTGGCTGGGATTACAGGCACCCAGCGCCACGCCCAGCTATTTTCTATAATTTTAGTAGAGACAGAGTTTCACCATGTTGGCCAGGCTGGTCTCGAACTCCTGACCTCAGGTGGTTTGCCTGCCTCGGCTTCCCAAAGTGCTGTGATTGCATGCATGAGCCACTGTGCTTGGCTGAAACTAACCCATTTCTGGAGCGTTATACAGCATTTGTTTAGAGAGTTTTGGGGATACCACCTGTGTTTCCTTCCCAAGCCACTGTGTTGGGTAGAGGTCACGGGCATCAGTTTGTGCTACATGAACCAACTGGAGCAGAACATGGCTTGTGTCTCCTAGGGCAGAGCGCCTATCATGAGAGCTTGGTGATGCCATTATCAGTGCTGGAATCCATATGCTGTGCCAAGTCCTAAGCCCTAAGCCAATCTCTTTTTAATAAACTTTATTTCATTTTCCACATGTAAACTATTATGTAATATATCATTTAATTTGTCATTTAATATTTTATTATTTCAAATATGTTAACTCTAGGACAACACTGTAGAATATAGTTTTTTTTTTTTTCTGAGATGAGACAATAAAAGCTGAGAGAGGTAAATAAGTAAATATTTGGATGAACTTCCACAAAGTGAACACACCCATGTAACCACCATGTCTTAGGTGCCAATCTCTACCACACCTGTCCTTCCTGGAATAACTGCTTTGTCAACTTCTCCCACCACGGATTGCTTCTGCCAGTGCAGGGATTTGAGCTCATACTGGTCTGTGTATTAGTCTGTTTTCACACTGCTGATAGACACATACCAGAGACTGGGTAATTTATAAAGAAAAAGAAGTTTAGTGGCCTCACAATCGTGGTGGAAGATGGAAGATACGTCTTACAAGGCAGCAGGCAAGAGAGAACTTGTGTGGGGGAAATCCCCTTTGTAATACCTCAGATCTCATGAGAGAACAGCATGGGAAAGACCCCCTGATTCAGTTACCTCCCACTGGGAACCTCCCACAACACGTGGGAATTTGGGAGCTACAATTTAAAATGAGATTGGGTGGGGACACAGCCAAACCCCGTCCGTCTGTCTCCAGAATACATGTTCTCGCGACCACTTCTTGATTCCTTAGACGTTTTAGGTTTGGCCACGGCCCGAATGCATTGCCCTGTTGTACTGGGACTCGGCACATGGCACCATCCTTGGCAGGCGGGGTCTTACTACGACAGTTGAGTTGAATTTGTGTGCTTTCCCCTGCGGGCCAGGGGAAGGTACGGGTGTAGCTCCTGTTGAGGACAAAGGGGAAGCAGCAGGCATGGCCGCATTGGAATTGGTCCTGGAAGAATCTGTCTGTTGAGTCTGCTTTGTGTTTCTGCCTTGAGCATCATGATCTGGCTGGAGAAAGGGAACAGTTGCTGGAGGTGACCAGGCCTGACTTCATTCCACTTCCGCTTCCGCTCCTGAGGGAGTTATTTTCTGTTAGCCATTTGCCTTTACCATCTTCCTGGTTTGGAAGTGGTTTAGGTAGAGGAAAAAAATCTTTTCTGCATAGGCACCACTTTGTTTGAGATCATGGTGAAGAGCTCCTAAAAGTTATATAGTGCTGTAGTGTTGACAGAACCCCTTCCCACCACTTAAAGTCTGGCGGTCCCTTACTGCCAAATGAATTTTTATTATCCCCGTTCCTTAGGCTGATCTAGTCTTTGTGAGTTATTTTAATGTGAATATGTGCTTTCAATATCATAATATTCATCTTCCCTGTTTTATGGCACCTATTTAAAAGTTATACCTTCTGAATTTATGTCTGTGTCTGATGGGTTCCTGAACCATTTAAAATGTGTAATGTATTCATTTCAGTTCATTTCAGCTCACAGTAACTGAACCCCCTCCCATGTGTCAGGTCAAGGGTGGGGACGTTCAGGGTCACAGTGAGTTGGGGAAACAGACACATAGGTAAATAATTCTAATATTGTAACTATGTACATTGGTGTGTCGTGCTAGAGATATACAGACATTGGAGCAATGAATTGTGCTGGGGGAGAAACAGGAGGTGTGGTGGGGTGCGTGGAGTAAGACCAAGCCATGTGACATTGAAGAGGTGACTTTGGAGCTGAGCCTTTCCTGAAAATTAGGCAGGTTCCAGGTAGACTCTTGGATGGAGGAGGGAATTGCTGGCAGAAGAAGGAGCACACAGGAAGGGCCGGGTGCGGTGGCTCAAGGGGCCAGGTGCAGTGGCTCAAGCCTGTAATCCCAGCACTTTGGGAAGCTGAGGCGGGTGGATCAAGAGGTCAAGAGATCGAGACCATCCTGGTCAACATGGTGAAACCCCGTCTCTACTAAAAATACAAAAAATTAATTGGGCATGGTGGCGCGTGCCTGTAATCCCAGCTCCTCAGGAGGCTGAGGCAGGAGAATTGCCTGAACCCAGGAGGCGGAGGTTGCGGTGAGCCAAGATCGCACCATTGCACTCCAGCCTGGGTAATGAGAGAAACTCCGTCTCAGAAAAAAAAAAAAAAAAAAAAAGAAAGGTGTCTTGCCTACAGGGTTTAATTGTGGAACATGAGCAGTGCAGTGTGATTTGAGAGTAAGGTAGGCGTGGAGCATGGCTGCAGACGAGTCCAGAGAGATGAGGAGGAGCACAGCGTGTGAAGCACCTTGCATGCCCTGTTCAGGGTTTGCAATTTCACTAGATAGTGGGATCCACTGGAGACTTTTAAGAAGAGTAGCAGCCACAGAGTCGTTTATTCATTTGACACACAGTAGGTGGATATGGTGGACAAAGCACAGTTGACCATCTTTGCCTTCATGGAGCTTACAGTTTGATCAGGGAGATAATTGTTAATAAGTTTGTCTTAGCCGGGACTGCTGTGACAAAGTTCTATAGAATGGGTGGCTTATAAACAGAAATGTATTAATATTTCTCACTTCTGGAGGTTGGAAATCTGAGATCAGGGTTCCAGCGTGTTCTGGTGGGGACTCTCTTCTGGGTTGCCGGCTGCTGTCGTCTTCTACCCTCACATAGCACAAAGAGTGAGCACTCTCTGGGGTCTTTTGTAGGGGAGCTAATTGCATTTATGAAGGCTCCACCCTCATAACCTAGTCATCTCCCAAGGGTCCCACTTCCTACTGTTGGGGGTTAGGATTTAAACATAGGAATATTGGGGAGACATAAACATTGATTGCACAGCTTATCACCTATATGAATAATCACACATTGATAAATGTTTGTAATTGACAAGTACTTATATGTGGACACGGCGTTGGTGTGGCTTGTGTGTATGGCTGGCGTACACTATAAGACAGTCAAGAACGCATCTCCAGAGGAAGCCAGGGGGTGCTCATGAGTAAGTGGTATTTGAGGCCAGAGGCATGGATGGGCAGGGTCCCAGGCTGAGCTTGAAAATGCTGACACTGGAGGGGTAGGTGGAGGAAGGGAAGCTGAGGAAGGAGCCTTGGATGAATTAACCAGAGAAGTGGGAAGAAAGCAGGAGGATGGAAGCCAAGAGAATAATATGGCGATGACTTGTATTTTACACAAATAATCACGTAAACATGAGGGCTGTGGAGAGGAGACTTGAGTGTGAGACCTTACAGGTAGTGATTCCCAGCCATGTCCGAACGCTGCCATTACACCTGTCAGGTGTGGCCAGTACCAATGAAACAGGAATAGCTGGGAGCAGGTCGCAGGGATCTGTGTTTGTGAAGCTCCGTTCCATTATGCAGCTAAGGCTGGGAGCCACTGTTGTGGTCCAGGTGAGAAGCGATGAGGGGCTCCGCTAGATTAGAGGGTGGAAAGGTGGACCGGGATGTCGCTGGACCAGATAGGACATTGTGACCGATTGCATGTGGAGGGTGAGAGGGAGGAGGAGGGAACATGAATTGGGTTTATTACTGTTATGCATGATCATCTGATCCTCTGTGTTTTGGCTTCCAGATATTCCTTTTTCGTAGCAATGGGATATCTTACAATATGTCACATCAGCCGAATATATATCTTCCACTATGGAATTCTCACTACGGATTTTTCTGGGTGAGTATCTTACTTTAGGGAGAGGGGTTTGACTGCTGACTTTGACTTGGTCTCTTGGGGTCTGTAAACATCAAGCATGCACAGAAGAATCATTGGTGCTTGGTTAAATCGGTTGCTAAGACACTGCTAATGAGATTGAGGTTGGAGACTGTTAGGTCTGCTACGCTGTAAGACAGGGATCATAGACCACAGCCTGCCGGCCGTGTCCGTCCTGCTGCCTTTGTGCAGTTGTATTGGACACAACCAGGCACTTACTTGTGTTGTCTATGACTGCTTCTACACTACAGTGTAGCAGAGTTGAATAGTTGCAAAAAGCCACGTGGCCTGCAAAGCCTAGAACATTTACTATTTGGCTATTTACAGAAAAAGTTTGCCAACCCCTATTCTGAGGTTCTTAACTTAGGGTTGGTTTTCATCTCTCTTGTTTAAATTTTTTTTAAATTCCGGGGTACACGTGCAGGTTTGTTACATACGTAAACCTGTGTCATGGGGGTTTGTTGTACAGATTATATTGTCACCCAGGTACTAAGCGTAGTACCCACTGGTTATTTTTCCTAATCCTCTCCCTCCTCCAATCCTCCACCTTCTGAGAGACCCCAGTGTCTATTGTTCTTTCCGTGTGTCCACGTGCCCTCATCGTTTAGCTCCCACTCAGGAATGAGAACATGCTGTATTTGGTTTTCTATTCCTGTGTTAGGGTTTTCATCTGTCACGAGTTATTAATATACACATTCTTTCATACTAGCTGATAAACACCTGCTACAGTGACCCCTTTGAGTTTTCCTGGCTGCCCTTGCCTTGGCCCCCAGGCCTACTTGACCTCCAGCAACTAGAAGGATAATTTATAAACATTTTGTCTAACACCATGGCCTCAATCTGGTGAGCCACCCCTTTCTGTTGGTTACATGGTAAAGACTGTGGATGGAACACTGAAAATTCTGTGCCCTGTTGAGGTGAGTTCAGGAACAACTTTTTGTGAATCTTGAGCAATGAACACTACAGCAGAGCTGTTCCTGGTGATGGGTGACTTGTTATCCACATCACTTCCCAGGAGTTTGGTTGTGTTCTCTGCAGGCAGCCTGAGTTCAGGGAGAACCTGAGCTCCCCACTCCGGTGGGACTGTACCTCCTTCAGTGGGTTGTTGGTGACCAGGCAGTGAAACAAGGCAGTGACCACTTGTGGCTCATTTCTGTGAACTTTGCAAGTTGTGCAGCTCAACTGTCCACCCTTGAAAGGGCTCAGGAAGGCAAAGAGTGTTGTTTTGGGACACAGGGATTGTTGCATTTAAATCTTTATGACTGTGGTTTGGGCTGAGACTGGTGTTTCATGCATAAGTTCTTCTTACTCTCAGGCCTCTGGGATTTTACCTGTTTTTCTTCCAATGGTGTGTCCTCTCCCCCACATTGTGGGGCACACGTTGTGCAAATCCACAAACTGTTTTTTAACAATATGCAGGCCAGGCGTGGTGGCTTCTGTAATTCTAGCACTTTGGGAAGCTGAGGTGGGTTGATCACTTGAAGTCAGGAGTTCGAGACCAGCCTGACCAACATGGTAAAACCCCATCTCTACTAAAAACACAAAAATTAGCTGGGTGTCATGGCAGGCACCTGTAATCTCAGCTGCTCGGGAGGCGGAGGCACGTGAATCACTTTAACCCGAGGGGTGCAGGTTGCAGTGAGCCGAGATCCTGCCACGGCACTCCAGCCTGGGCGGCAGAGCGAGACCCTGTCTCCGAAAAACTCCCCCCAAAAACCCAACATGCATTACTAGTAAAATATGAAAGACATGGGAACAGCAACGATAACAAAATCACCGGGCAGGTGTCGCATCCAAAGGAATCTCTAAATGGGGATCGCAACTCTCCATAGCGTTCGTTCAATCAACACAAACCAGTTTTTGGTTTCACCCCCGAAGAGTTCTTGACACTTAATAGGTGGTCAGGAAAGGAATGCATTAAATACTCTAGTATTGACTATTCTTTCTTTCAATGTTTCCAGGAGACTCATTATTAAACAGTCCCTTCAGCCACATTGGTTGGGATATTAAGCAAAAGTCGTGGACTGGCCAAAACGACATTATTACCTATCGTTCATGTATATCTTCTTCTCTTTCTAAGGCAGGAAGCATCTATTCATTCATTTCTGCAACAACTTTTGGGTGCCTAATATGTTAGGTGCAGTGCCTGGTTCGAGAGACCCTGTGCATTCTAGTCAGGAGGAAGGCTATTCCGGGCAGAGGGGAAGGCTTTGGAGGAGCCCAGAAATGCAAGATGGGTGCCTGTGGAGGTACCAGAGAGCCTTTCTGTCCTTTACCACCTGCATCCTGTGTCACCAGGTCCTCTCGGTGTGACAGCCGGGCTGTCGCTAGAATCTGCACACTGCCCTTCGTGCCCGCTGCCGCCACCCTGGACCCCCCAAGCCTGTAATGCCTTCCTGACTGGCTGTCCTTCCTCCTGCCCTGCCCCATCTGCAGTCTGTGCTCTCTACACTCATCAGAATGAGGCTGTAGGCCAGGCACAGTGGCTCACACCTGCAATCTCAGCACTTTGAGGTGCTGAGTTGGCGAGAGGAGGAGGAGACTGCTTTGGGCTCAGGAGTTTGAGACCAGCTTGGGCAACATGATGAGACCCCATCTCTGTTAAAAAGGTATTTTAAAAATGAACTGGGTGTGATGGTGCGTGCCTGTAGTCCCAGCTACTCAGGAAGTAGAGGTGGGAGAATCTCCTGAGCCCAAGAGATTGAGGCTACAGTGAGCTATGATTGTGCTAGTGTACTCTGGCCTGAGTGACAGAGCAAAACCCCATGTCAAGCAAACAAACAAATTAGAAAAGATGCAAATGAGGTTCTGAAATACAAAGCTGATGTCGCTCTGGACCCGCCAGGCCTTCATTTCCTGCCGTCTGCTGTTACTGTCCAGGGCAGAAATGTCTGTGGTCTGCACACATGGTGGGTGAGTGCCCACCTCTGTGCTTGTGCCTTGCCCATTCCCCTTATCAGAAAGCCATCTCCTGTCTTTTTCAACTGGAAATCTCTTACTCCATTTTCTAAAACGCAGCTCAAAGATCACTTGCCTTAAAAAAGCTTCCCTCGTTGCCTTCCCCGCCCTCTTCCTACCGCCTGCACCCCAGAGCCATGCATTCCGACCTCGTGTAGCAGGAGGTTTCTTGCCTGGCTCTCAAGGGCTGGTGCTACCATTGCCTGTCAGTCATACCTTGTCCCTGATGCAGAGAGTGTGTGTAGCTGGCGGCCACAGATACCTTCCTCATCTGTTGTGCCGTATGCTTAGCTAGTGTTATATGTGTTTTTTCCCACACTTGTTTATTCCAATTGTATTTATGTATCAGTATCAGGATTCTTGAGAGAAACAGAACCAATAAGATATTTCTGTGGGGATTTATTAATGGGAATTGGCTAATGTGATTATGGAGCCCAAGACGTCCCACCATATGCCACCTGTGAGCTAGAGATTCAGAAAAGCTGGTGGCGTGATTCAGTCTGAGGCTGATGGCCTGAGAACTAGGGGAGTAAGTCCCAGAGTCCAAAGGCCTGAGAACCGGGACCTCCGATATCTAAGGGCAGGAGAAGATGCCTCAGCTCAGGGAGAAAGAGAATGAGTCCTTCCTTCGCCTTTCAGTTCTGGCCCTCTAAGGACTGGATGATGGTCTTCCACGCTGGCGAGGGTGGATCTTCCTTCCTCAGTCCACAGATTCAAATGCTGATCTCTTTTGGAAACGCTCACAGACACACCGAGAAATGTTGTACCAGCTGTCTGAGCAATGCTGAGCCTAGTCAGGTTGACAGGCAGAATTAACCATCACCACTTCTGTGTCAGCGAATTATACATGAATGCGAAAGGAGACATGATAATTTCGCTAAATCTAGTTTGGGTCCCTTGGAAAGCCACCAAGACAAATTTAGTTTATTACAAATAACCGCCATTGAATTAAATGTGGGTGAGAATGCTGAAAGGATTGGGGGTTGGGGGAAGGAAGTATAAACATGAAGCCATTTTCAATCAGATGGCTTTGCAGGCATCTTTACTTTCTCTTACCTTCTCAGTCTGTGCTAGAGGGAATGACCCTGGAGACAGTGGCTGGGGTTTGTGAGAGATGCTGTCCTTCAGCAGATCTGTGCTCCAAGGAAAGGCTTCGGTCCTGTGTCAAAGCTCATTAGTTCACTATTCAGCAGGCAGTGATTGGGGAGCCCCGTGTATACTAGGCACAGCGATAGGAAACCGAAGTGAGCGAAGACTGCAGAATGAATGTGTAGTTACATATTTTAAGTTTGTATAGAAAGTTAAGGCTGGGCATGGTAGCTCGTGCTTGTAATCCTAGCATTTTGGGAAGCTGAGGTGGGAGGATCACTTGAGTCCAAGAGTTTGAGACCAGCCTGGGCAACATAGTGAGACCCCATCTCTTCAAAAAAAATTAAAAACTCAGCTGGGCCTGGTGGTGTATGCCTATCATCCCAGCTATTCAGGAGGCTGAGGTGGAAGGATTGCTTGAGCCCAGGAGGTCAGGGCTGCAGTGAGCTGTGATAATGCCATCATACTCTACCTGGGCTGTAACAGAGCAAGACCCTGTCTCAAAAAAAAATTTTAAGTGTGAGTGTATTGTTGCATACTAGGTTGAATAGTGTCCTCCAAAAGAGTGTGTCCTTATTTGGAAATAGTCTTTGCAGATGCAATTAGTTAAGATAAGATGAGGTCACATAGGGTGGGGCGTAGTGGCTCACACTTGTAATCTCAGCATATAAACTTGTACTTTAGATTATTCTGGGACTTGAAATTGCATTTATCGTTCTAAGAGTAATCAAGTTTCCATGGACTGGACTGCAACTGATGGTGAGGAAAACAAGATACGCTTTTATTGGTGCTGCTAATACATGTGGTGGCGAATGTCCTTTATGTTTTCTCTGTGAATGTGGGCTGTTCAAAGCGCTGGAATATTTCCTATTCTCCTGGGGGAAGCTCAATGATTGCTTGTAATACAGCTGGTACTT